CGGAGGCCCCACCTCCAAACGCCATCACCTCTAGGGTTAGGCCCTCAGTAGGTGAATCTGGGCGGGTCACTGGCCGCCCTGCTTCCAGGCTGTCTTCCTAGTAAAGGTCTGGGTAGTCTGGGCTGTGCCGGGCAGGAGGTGTTGCTGCCCCGGCCACAGCTGGAGGAGGGGCCCTAGGAAGACCCCTTAGAAGGCGACGTCCCCTCCTCGTGGCCCATGGCAGCGTGGGTCCACCTCCCCAGAAGACTGAGGATCAGGAGGCCTTGTGACTGAGAAGCTGTGGACATGGTGCCTCCCGTGGAGGACCGAGCAGTCGGTAACTTAGCCCTGGCGAGGCCCTTAGGTTCACTGTTTCAGTTAATCCTCTTAAAAATGCCACTACGCAGGCTTTTTCATCCCGGACTGCCTTTGCAGGAAGTGAGGCTCAGAGAAATGAAATATCCGAGCCAGGATTATCGTGGAGAACAAGGGCAGGCCGCAGGCAGAGCGGGGCAGCATGGTCCTGGACGCCTTCACTCCCTGCAGGAGAACGAGGGTCCTGGCCAGGCCTCGGTATCCGGTATTTAGGAAGGCGTTTTGCTGGGGTGCGGGGGAGCTCCAGCAGGGAGCTTGCCTCACCCCCGGTGCCTTCCAGCTCTCTGTTCTGCCCCCAGCACACACGAGGACACACTGGGGACCACACAGCAACATGGGGACCCTACACACAGGACATGCATGGGGACCACACAGAAACACAGGGACACCTACGCAGGACACGCATGGGGACCACACAAACATGGGACACCTACACACAGGGACTGGTGCCAGCATACCAGTGAGACACAGTCTGAGGCCAGACAGGGGCACAGAAACACACAGGGACGTAAATTCACACGGACACAGAAAGTTCCCACACACCTGCGGACTCCCGGGGATGCACACAGATAGGCATAGAAATAGTGTTACAGTACATGCTTCTGCTAGCAACGAAGTACCAGAAATGGTACTTCAGGGCATGGCAGTTAAGGGCGCTGGACTCCCACATGGCCAACTGTGGTTTGAGTCCCGGATCTGGTGGTTTGCTTTCTCACTTTTTCTCTCGCTCTCTCTCTTGATCTTGCTCTGTCCCTCTCTGGTCAATAAGTAAATAAATTTTAAAAGAAATAAAGTTAAACTTTTAAAAATACTAATAATTCTTTAAAGAGAAAACAAAGAGAGATTTAGGGGCCAGCAGGTGATATAGTGGCTAAGGTGCTGGACTCCCACATGGCTGACCACAGTTCAAGTCCCAGACCTGGAGGCTTGAACTCGGAGGCCAGATGCATGTATGTATGGGCCCGAAACTGCGAGAGGAGGATGGAGAAGGGCTTGGGACATGGCCGTCTTCCATGCGGGAGGCTTTCTCACCTTTCCTCTCACTGTCTCTGTCTCTCCAGCGGTCATACACATCCTATGGCAAAAACCGTAAAAGAGAGATTTATTCGGGCCCTAGTGAAGGTCCAGGGGCTGCATCTGGTGAGCGTGTTCTGGCTGAACCTCAGCATCTGGGGGCACAGGAGCTTGTGTCCGGGTGTCCTTCTCTCTCCTAGTAAACCAAGAGACCTTCCCTGATAACTTTAATCCTAAACTTCTCCCGTAGGCTTCATAGTTGGGTCGTGTTTCCTCCCTCTTAATCCCGTCACAGCCTCGCCTCAACACGTGAATCTGGGGGGACATTCAGGTCCTTCTCGACAAGCCTCTTGTCCGTCGCCACCTCCAGACTCTGTGGTACTGCCCAATCCTCACGTCCAGCCAGGGGGTTCTTGCTCTGGGTGAAGGGCCGAGTTGCAGGGACACTCCTTCCAGCCAGGAGATCTCCACAGCACAGGAAGCCATGGTGGCTGCGACCAGGGGTGGCTCAGCCCTGGCCTTGCCCATGTGCCCTGGGGGACCTTAGGGGAAGAGGGGGTGGCTTGGAGCCAGTGCTGGTTCTGAGGGTGATGTCCTGTGCTCCCCAGAACTTCCAAGAGGGATGTCTCCTGGGCAGGCAGGGACCCACATGACATGGGCCTCCTGCACTACTGGTGCCATGTGGGCTGACTGGCCAGGGCCAGGTGTCAGGTGTCCCCACAGGAGCCCTGGTTCCAGGGAGGGTGACAGGTGATGGATCTGTCATCCAGCGGCCTCTCTGGACCCTGACTCGGGGGCAGAGCACCCTCCCAAGGCCTCACACTGGTCACTCTTGGATCCACTCACTGCCTCTTAGTCCTTCCCTGTCACCAGCTCTGTCCCTCCCTCCCCAGTTACGTACCCTTGGCCTGACTCCTCTTTGCGCAGATTCTCTGGGGGCTGTTTCAGCAGCAGCCCCTCCCCACCCCAGCGTGGGACTCTAAGGAGGCATCTTCCCCAGGGATCAGACTGTGGGTCAGGACGGGACCACCAGCCCCGAGAATCTGTCCCCCAGACCTAGACATCCTCGTCCTAGGACTGGCCCCAGCCTCCTGGCCCCATTCCCTTGATTCTGGTCCTTTTGACTGGGTCTGGGCTCCCTTCCTGGACTTGCCAGTGTCATGATGGGGTGGGAGGCCCTCCTTCCAGTTCATTGGGCATTTTCTGTGCAGGAAGGGGTACTGGCCCCAGGGTTGGACTGCGGTCCAGAAGCCAGATCCAACTTCTCCCGGGGACAGGGACTCTGACAGGGGGACGCCCATGAAAGAATGGGCCACTGCTCGTCTGACACTGAGAGCGAGGGGCCCGCTCAGGACACACACGGACTCAAAACACTCGAGTGGCCGGCAGAGCCAGTGCACTGGGCCAGCTGGGAAGCTTTGGGGCACCCACGGCTTTGGGGCTCCTCAGGGAAAGGTGAGGGTTCCCACAGATAGTGGTGAAGTCAGCGGGGAAGGGTCAGGTGACTCCAAGTGTCTAAAGAACACCCCAGAACCAGGCTGAGTCTGCCTGTTGGAGTCTCCAGGCCTGTAGCCCGGGCCCACTCCCCATAGCAAACCCTGTATCCTCGTAACAGGGTCAGGCTCAGGGGTGCCAGAAAAACTCAGGTTAACTCAGTGGCCTTGCTGGTAGATAAAGGTGTCTCAGGGGACTTCAGGTGAACATGCGAGTGTCGGGCCCTGGCGAGGGGCAGCTCTGGGGAGTGGCCAGTGCGGAGGACTTGGCGTCTGGGCCAAGTTCTCACAAGTTGGCCATGTCTGTATCTTAACTGGTCATAGGGTGCCCCCTGCTGGTGACGGCAGGAAGTTCAGCTCCTTCCCATGGAGAAAGGAGGGCCACCTCCCCCATGTTATTACATATCACAGAAGGTTCTGGAACGCCTCTTGCTGGGCTGGGGGACCCTCTGCGGTGCCCCTCCAGAGGGAGCACTCGTGCAGTTATGTCCCGAGAACTGCTGTGTCCCAGGAGCCTCTGCAGACATTGCCCTGGGCGTGCGGTTCCCTGCCCCCTGTGGGTACCATCACCAGGCAGAAGTCCGCCCTGGGCGGGCCGGGTGTGGGTGAGCCACGGTGAGTCAGTGCCTTGGCACGCAGCAGCCTTCCCGCCCTTCCACACATGGGCACCAGCAGCTTCCCCGTCGCCAGGGGCTGCTGGCCCTTGTGAACTGAGCTGCGGGAGCTGGTGCCGTGCAGCCTCTGCCCCTGCAGCCAGGGGGCCAGCCAAAGGCTCATTTGTTCCGGGGGGACTCTACTGCCTCCCACTCCTGCAGGATGTGGGAGAGTCCAGGGAGACAGCGGCTCCCAGATAAGCTTGGGGTCTCCCCAGTTGCCAAGACAGAGACAAATGTTCCTCCTGCTGGGGAAAAGCTGGATTCTCTGCTCTCTGTGCAGAGAACATAGAGTTCTCTGCTCTCTCTCTATGTGCTGGACCTGCAAGATCCTACCCAGCCATCACAGCAGAGGCAGCGGTCACCCCCTCTGGGAAGCCTCTCCCCTGGGCTCTGAGCTCCTGCAGGAGACCAAATAGTGTCTCCAGTAGCTTGCTGTGCTGCCTGGGATGAATGGCGGACCTCTCTGAGGTTGTTTTCTAATCTACAAAATGGGTATGTGGGCCTGCCCAGGGCGCATCGTGGCGGGCAGATCAGATAGTTGGGGAGCTGTGCTCACACCAGGAGGTGGGTGGGGAAGGCGCAGTGTCAGCCTTCAGCCTGTCTCCGTGCCCTGCTGCTGAGGGGCCAGCCCTGGACGAATGACTCGCTTAGCAAACTCTGAGCTGTGTGAGCGAGAACGACCCTCTCTGTGTATCGCTGAGTATTGAGGTGCAGAAAGGCTCCCACCTGCTGGAGGCTGTGCCCCCCATTCCTCTGCTCCTAGGCCTCCCCTCCCCCATGGCTCCTGCCCCACGACGCCCACCCTGTGATGCACTTTGACCTAGCACCGAGGTCACAAGTCCCTGGACAGCTGTTAGCAGTGTAACCCCTACTCCTGCTGTCCTGTGTGGTCTGGAGGACTAGTGGGTCCAGACATTGGGCCCCCTGGATTCCTGTTGCCTTCAGAACCAGGCCAACCCTTGCTGTGACCCTAGGGCCTGCCTCCCCTCCATTCACATGCCACCCCGTGCCAGCCCTTTCCCCCCCAGGGCCTGGGCCTGGGCCTCCCTCTGTGGGAATATCCCCTCCTTGGAGTGCCTGCTGCTTGCCAGTCTGGGCCTTAAGTTGCCAGCCCAGAGAGGCACTGGCCGCCCCGTGGAAGGGAGTTCTCCCATCGCTGTGTGCACCCCTCCCCAGCCTCCAGGCCAGTGTCATCTGTCCCTCAGTCACTGTCTTCCACAGGCCGAGCACCCAGGAAGGACTTGGAAATGTTTGTTGAACAAAGAGGCATGTACATAGGCTAAGCCCCCAATCCCAAGCTGATGAGATGAGCAAGACTTTCTGGAAAGGGGGTCTGAGGGTGGGACGTTAGAGGGACCAAAATCTCCCCAAGGTGGGCCCTGTCTCCAGAAGGCCAGCTCGCTCCTGCTGGACTTGGGGGGGGGGCGGACACTGTGCTGCCAGCCAGGCTGGCCCTGACCTGAGTCCTTCCCCCCGCCCACAGCACCGGCAGCTGCTGAAGGACAGCTTCATGGTGGAGCTGGTGGAGGGGGCCCGCAAGCTACGCCACGTCTTCCTCTTCACCGACCTGCTCCTCTGCACCAAGCTCAAGAAGCAGGGCGGAGGGTGAGTGTGATGCAGCCCCTGCCCCACCCGCCCTGGTGGCCACCCTGCCCTGACACTGCAGGCGGGAGCCCAAGGTCGCCTGGAGAGGTCAGAAGTGATACAGTCACACCCCTCTCTATATTCTCTCTACCTGGACATGAGGCCAGGCTTGAGGTCAAAGGTTGTCGCTGACATGAGGCAGGGACAGGGACCAGCTGTGCAGGGTAAGCGTGAGGGAGGAAGATCATGTTGCAGCCCATCCTGGAGGAGCGAGTGACAGATCAGGGGGCTGCAGGGCTCAGGCGGGCCACCCCCTCCCCTGTCCCTGGCAGGCATCACTAGGCGATCACCACACTTCATCTCCCAAGCCTGCTGATGGCTTCTAGGTTATTCTCAGCACAGGCCTGCAGACCTCGCCCCACTGCACTCCCACCCCCAAGGGCTCAGATTCCGCCAGGTTGGACTGTAGCAGAGTCACATTGGAAAGGGCCAGCCGGGCTCTTCCCCCCAGTCCGCTACTTCCCTGTCTAGTAGATTCCATCAATTCGGTAGAGAGCCTCAGTTTCCCCAGCTGTCAAGGTGGATCTGCCCACCCTCCCCCAAGCTCTCCAGTCCTGGGGTTGGTCCACAGCCCTGTCCTCTTGTTAGACAGCCTTCACATACTCCCGTGTGAGCCACCAACTTCAGGATCAGTGCGAAAGGAAGAGGGTCAGGCACCCCGGGGTCTGGAGTCACGTGTGCAGGTCTGTTCCCAGGAGTCACCGGGGCTGGGGCCACCAGTATCTGCTGTTGGCTTCATCTCCACCCAGCACAGGGACCTATCGCCGGGTTCTCAGTCGGCTACAGCAGACCAAGCCTCAGAGCTAGGGCCCTCGGTTCCCGAGAGCAGTGACATTAGGAAGAAAGTGACAAAGGGAGACAGCCGACGTGGTAACGCCCTCTTCTCCCACCCAGCAAAGCCCAGCAGTACGACTGCAAGTGGTACATCCCGCTCACAGACCTCAGCTTCCAGATGGTCGATGAGTCGGAGGCTGCATCCAGCATCCCCCTGGTGCCGGACGAGGAGCTGGACGCCTTGAAGATGAAGATCTCGCAGATCAAGAGCGACATCCAGAGGGAGAAGGTGCAGCCAGTGCGGGAGGGCCGTGCTCTGCGTGGTCACAGTGGGCCCCGGGCCCAGGGGGTGCTCCCTCTGCCGGGCGCTGACCCCACACCTGGTCTCCTGGGGCGCTGGGCATCTGGTCTGATGCCTAGTTACCCGCCCTGTTCCCTGGGGCGCTGCTGCGCGTGGGGAACTCGTCTCTACCGCAGACCACGCTGTCTGGCCTGTGCCCGGCTTATGCCTGCCTGGTTTATGTCCCCCACTCTGGTGCCCAGAGCTTGATCTTGTGTCCCCCCAACCCCAGTGTCCTGGGGAAAACCCAGCCTGGGGTGGCCCCTAGTTCTTCCAATGGAAGATGCAAGTTCAGCTGGACACAAGGTCGAAGGTTTTCACTTGCAGCCCTGAGCAGGGATGATGCTGTGAGTTGGGAGGGCCGCCCCCTGTCCCTGAGTCACACAGGCGGGAGAGAAGCGTCAGGCGGAGTGAGGGAGGGAGAGCTCAAAGGGCACTTAGTGCCCCATGTAGGGCGGCAGGGTGCGGGTCACCATGCACATGCCTGAGTGGCCTGGCTACCGGGAGGGATGTGCCTGGCTGCCCCCCTTGTGACTGCCCAGATGGAGGCTAGTTCCAAGTGGGAGTGTAGCCCCGCCAGATGGTCTAGACTGCCAGCCCTCGGTCCTTTCCAGAGCCTTCTAGAAGACTGTGGTCATAGTAGGAATGAGCCCCTCGGGTCTGGGGCCAGAGGAGGCCTATGCATGGCCGCGTGTAAGGCTGATTTCTGAGAGGTGGGACCCCGCTCAGGGATGGCCGGCGGAGGGGGACGCACAGCAGGACTGAGGGTCTTTCTCAGCCCTCAGCTGTCTGCTCAGCGTGTCACACCACAAACGTGGCACGTGTAGAAGCACACGGGGAGCCCCGCAGGCCCCCAGGAGGGAAGCCTCTCGGCTGGAGTGAACGTCTGGTTGATGTATCCGAGCAGACCTGTGGCTTCCGAGGCCGCGTGTCCCTAAGCAGAGGGGGAGCCAGTGCCAAGTCCTCCGGGCTGGGACGGCTTCC